AAGGTAGGGCAGAAGGCCCCACTTCAGCCTGCTTTCAGGAATCGTGGGAACGGGTGGATGGTGGTTTGGATAGGAAAGATGAGAGGGACGAAATGAAGACAGAAGAAAATGAAAGATTATCTGTGGAATATAACTGCCTCAGCATTTGCCTAAGTGATCCAAGGAAACCACTGAAAACCTTCGACCAAGGCAGACGGACCCGGAATCGAGCCGGCGTCCTCCCGAATGCTAAGCAATGGTCTAAACCTCTAGGCCATGACGCTCTCTGGACGGAAAGAATAGTAGGAATATAAAGCAGATGATAGCGCAGGGTCAAGTCGCCTCCAATAAAAAGAAGTCACTTCTATGCTCGCGAACGATTAATTTAGAAATTCGAAAAAGATTGTAAAAGGTGTATGTTTGGTGTGCGGCGCTGTACGAGTACAACACATAGACGGTGTACGCGGCGGAAATGTGGTGTTACAGGCGAATGATGAGGATACCGTGGATAAAGAAGGTTAAAAATGAAGAGGTATTAGAAAGAATAGGAGAACAAAGGACTCTGTGGAAGTCAATCACAAATAGGCTAGATAGGTTGGTAGGACACCTTCTTACGCATGAAGGTCTAGTCAGAGACATATTAGAGGCAGAAACGGGAGGGGTAGAGGTAAACCTAGACTAGATTACTGTTCTCAAATAGTTAAGGATGTGGGTTGTTCTCGTTTTGGGGAAATGCGAAGATTAGCTCAAGAAAGGGTGTAGGTGCGTATCCAACCAGTCTTATGACTTAATTGAATGAATGAATTCATTCCCAAAAAGGGTAGAAATTTTTGTGAACTCCCTCCATCTCAAAATCCTGGATCCGCCTCAGTTTTATATAATAGTAGTTTTTCTGTTTAGTTCTTTTTACACTGTAGAAAATAATAGATACGTTAAGAAAGAGTGATTTACTCATTTTATTATTCCAGTAAATGTTGAAGAAAAACTACATCTTTATACGTTTGCTGTTCAGTACGCAGCACGTTGAGCATGTTCAGTTTGCAACGGTCGGTGCTGTTAAAAAAAATTAATTGTATATGTAGCTCACATCACGTGAACAGTATACTTATGAAGGAAGTCCAAACAAAGGTTTTGAAGTATAGACAGGCATCTATTTTCATTATTAAGTAGTACGCGGTAGCAATACAGAGAGTATTTATATGGCAGGTTTATTTATAATTCAAGGGTAACTCCGGTCGCCACTGCTGCCACCATATTTGAAACTCTGATATGAGCCTGTGCCATTTAAATAATTAAACATGCGTACTTTATGTATTTTTTATGTTTGTACGATATTATATACTGGGCGAATGCTTAAATACGTTGACCTTGTTGGAAATCGTATTATTATCCAACGAAATCTGTCTCGTTTAGGATTCACTAGGAAAAAGGATCGAATTTCGCAGAAATTGTTGATGGGATGGTTGAAGTATGTCCGTTGATTTGACCGGTCAAGGGCAGACACATAATGCTCGCGTCTCATAGCTTAGTGGTCAAAGCATTGGTGTTTAAAACCTAAAGGTCCCGGGTTCAATTTTCGGCGAAGGTGTGACAACAGTAACAATTTTTTCCTGTTAACTTGAGGTAATTTATAGTAGATAAAAATTAACAACGAATTTCCACATTAATATTGAGTAAAGTACATCTTTTGTCATTGAAGTTCTCATACTACAGCTGATTTTCAAGTCGTTACTTGGGGCTCTATGCCTTTTTCCTTCCGACTTTATGTTTATCCATTTTACTAATTCAGTTATCAATTCACTAATTTGCGATGTGAAAATTTACTGAAAATTAGTGAAAATGCACCCATTCATCATGGGAGAAAATGCCACAAAATTACACAAATTGTAAATTTCGCAATTTTGTGGCATTTTGTAGTTAGGAGACATCTCACAGAATATGTATATGCGTTCTGAACATTTTTATAGGAAAACATGGTCCCCTAATCTTTTGCAGGTTTGTCAGTATCAATGCATCTACTAATATTTATTAAATTTGCCATCTGTCCATCTGAAAGCTGCATAGATATGTTATCTAATAATATTTATCAAATATTAATGTGAAATTAACTAAATTCTTTACACTACACTGCAGTTAATGAAGAAAAAATTGTTGCTGCTGTCACACCCTCGCCGGGAATTGAACTCAGGCCCCTGGCTGTACGCCCCAATACGCTCTTATCATTACCTATCGCTAAATCTCTGCTGTAAATAAATTAAGTTGATTTCATATTAATGTTTAATAATTATTGAAATATTAACTTCTAGTAAAAATAATAAATTTCTTAAAGTAGGTATTGATTTTGATTTTCTAATAATTTTGAACTATTCTCCCAAGTCTCTCCAAATTTTGCAAATATTGTTTTTAAATAGGAAGTTCTCATTTTCAAAATTTGAAAGTCGATCTTTTTGCGAAATATATCGTTTTTTCCTCGAGGTTCCAAATTCTTATTAATTTTGTAGTATGGGCTTAAACGAAACGAAAAAACAAATATGTATGTTGTTCTAGTAATTGCATGCCGCCACCATTCTCCTGTTACGTGGATGTATTTTTTTAAGGTTTGAAGTTTCATCATTGGGCGGCTATTGCATGAACCTCCAATTACCTCCAGCATAATTTCTTGTATGATCGACAGTGTTAGACTCAGTTATACAACACTGTTGCAATTACGTTAATAATATAACACGTCGCCATTTCACTTTTAATTCAGTTTAGAACAAATAATTCTAACAGTTACACATGGTCACTCTGAATTGTTTTTCTAATTTTCTACCATATTTCAATTTAAAGAAAATACTTACGATTAATTAATTTCATATTTTATTAGTTTTTCATATTTCACTTTAAGGATATATATATATATACATATATAGGCAAAAGATTACTATGCTTTTATTTGAAAATGATATAGCAGTATTAGCATCTGAAAAGGAGGAGTTAGAGATAGCTTTAAATAAAATGGAAGTCGTATTGACAAAATAGTAGTGCATTAAAATAAGTAAATGTAAAACGAGCATACTGGTATGCAAGGGAAATGTAGGGAGAGAGCGAATATAAAGATAGGAGACAAAAAATTAGAAGAAGTGTTTGATTTGAGGTATCCACGAAGTCAGACGGAAGGAGTCGTAGGGATATAAAGCAGAGGGTGGCGAAGAGTCGCTGCCTTCGATAAAAAAAGTCACTTCTATGCTCGCGAGCGATTAAATTCGAAATTGTTAAAGGTGTATGTTTGGAGCACTACGTTGTGCGAGTGCGAAACATGGACAGTGGGCGCGGCGGAAAAGAAAAGTTAGAAACGTTGGAAATGTGGTGTTACCATGACCGAGCGGCCTAGAGGTTTAGACCATTGCTTAGCATTCGGGAGGACGCCGGTTTGATTCCGGGTCCGTCTGCCTTGGTTCAAGTTTTTCTGTGGTTTCCTGGGATCACTTAGGCAAATGCTGATGCAGTAATATTCCACAGATAATCTTTCATTCTCTTCTGTCTTCATTTCGTCCGTTTCATCTTTCTCACCCGAACCACCACCCACCCATTCCCACGATTCCTGAAAGTAGGCTAAAGAGGGCCTTCCGCCCTACCTTCCGGCGTAGTCCGGAGGGACTGCCCACCCACTAGCATTACTGGCTGGTGGGAATGAAACACCCTAAAGTTGTTTTACTTGTGTAACCATGGATAGAGAAGGTTTTAGAAAAAATAGAAGAACAGAGGACCATATGGATGTCAATAGACCAAATATTAGACATATTAGAAACTATTCACAAATAGTTAAGCATATGGGATGTTCTAGTTTTAGAGAAATGCGAAGATTAGCTCAGGATATAAAAAAGTGAAGGTACGTGTCCAATCAGTTTTAGCTTATGAAGTTCTCTTATTCCAAGGAGTTTTGATACACTTCCCTGGCACGTCTTTCCCGTAGAAATAAATACTCAGTAAATTGTATTTACATTACGCACACCTTAACTTCGACTGAATTAATAATTTTATCTTCCAATCAAGGCGGACTTCTAATATTCATAAAAATATCCTTTCAATAACCTAGGAAATATCCGCTTGAAGTTTAACCGTATAATTAATAAACAACTCGTGTTAAAAGTCGTTAAAAATATCTACCACTTTCATTAGACATTTAACATCATTCTAAAAAATATTGTATGTGTAAAATGACTGTCGTCTCTTAAATATGATAAGAATCGAATGAAAACTTATTTTTATTTATGATGAATGGCTGTGGAATTTAAAATAGGACGTTAGTACACGAAGACGTTCGTTTAAACAGGCATCATTTAAATGAAAAGCAGAGTTGGGGTCATATTTATAAATAGTCACAAAATGATCGGCCTTCGCTGATAGAGTACTGTAATTATGCCGTTTCCTGATAATGATAATATTATTTTGAGATAATATGTATGTATAGGTACACATATGTATGCACAAATTAAATGAACAACAACTGGTAGAGAAGCGTCTTCTTTTGGATGTTAATGTAGAATTATTATTGTTTTTTTTACAATAATTTTCGATGGCATAAAATGCACCATTAAATAATACAATAATATTTTATGATAAACAAAATAAAGAAAAAATATTAATATCGTTCCCGTTCCAATTTTAATGCCTTGTTGTGTCTTAAAAAGACATTCAAATTTCAAAATTACACAGCCAAAAATCAACACAATTTACCTAACACACAATGTAATTTTTTTGTCGACACAACTAATAAACACATTCCGTAAATCTAAGTTCAGCTTGTGATGATTACGCTGTTTTTGACTAAACTTTAGAGGACGAATCCGAGCAGTATTACAGTACGTGAGCAATCGACAATTTAATATATTGCTAGTCTATCTGCGATCGAAGATTTCGCTTTTTGACATGTACCTTACTATACATTTATAAAAATATTTAAAAAAAAATGATTCTGAACGAGTATAAAAGGGGTTTTCGCTTTTGAGAAAGCATAATCAAGTGATTTGTCTTCATAGAAAGAACAACAAAAACCAACAACGAAAATGTACTCTGCTGTGTTCGCTATCTTCGCAACTCTGTTTGCTCAGGTAAATATAAATTCAATTGTTTCATTCAATTCATACCTACATTCCTCCTTAAACTGTGCTGTTCAGAATAACTCCTGAAACACAGACACTAATACAATGTAATAATTTATACAATTAGAGCTTAGCTGCCGCAATTATTGGAGCTCCAGGACTTGGAGTTGGACTTCCACCATGCTCATCTGTACTTGGTACCGGCATTGGCGCTATCAACCCAGGGGTTGTATCCGCTGAATTCACTAGCCTGAGTCCAGGCTTTGGCCTTCCAGGTCTCGGTTTAGGTGCTGCCCCAGGTGTCTTCTCCACTGAATTCACTAGCCTGAATCCAGGCTTTGGCCTTCCAGGTCTTGGTTTAGGAGCTGCCCCAGGTGTCTTCTCCACTGAATTCACTAGCCTGAATCCAGGCTTTGGCCTTCCAGGTTTCGGTTTAGGTGCTGCCCCAGGTCTCTTCTCCACTGAAGTCACTTCCACCTTACCAGCCTTTGGCAACTTGGGCCTTGCAGGTCTCGGTTTCGGTGCTGCCCCAGGACTCCTATCCGCTGAAGTCACTACTGCCTTACCAGGCCTTAGCGGTTTAGGCCTTACTGGTCTTGGTTTGGGTGCTGCCCCAGGTTTTGGTTTCGGAAATCTTGGTTTAGGTGGTCTTGGTATTGGCCCAGGATTCCAAACTACTGAAGTTACTTCCGTTAATGGACTGGGTGCCTTCCCAGGAGTAGCTGGTTTCGGAGGTTTAGGATATTTCTAAATTTCATATCAAATAAACGTTTGGAACAAAAGTCATCAGGGTTGCCGCATAACTCAGCTTTTAAACATCGATGAATAAATCTTTTGTGAATTGCAAAATTAAATAAAAAATATATCCAGTAATATCTGCTTTTTCTACATTTGTATTAGCATCATAATTAACTAAATTTTTCTACAAGTCCTATTTCGAGGGACAAAAAAGGATTGCAATTAAATTATGCTATTTGCTGAAACTAATACTAATGTGCAGAAATATTTTCTGAAACGGCGCATTTTAAGTGCAATAATAAATTTTAAGATCACAGAGAATATCACACTAATAAATGCAATAAATATATCAATATATGTATTCAATGGCTTGCCTCGATTACTATACTCACTCCTAATTTTAAGTTAGACAATAAAAAAACATTTTTTTTAAATACCTAGACATGAGGAAGCTTTATAAACGATTCTCAACAATAACACGTAGATTCTGAAAATTAAAAAATATACAAGGTGTTCAATTTAAAATAAGAAAATTAATGGTAGCTTGCGAAATAACCGGATGCATATTACAATTACACACCACAAAAACATGAGCATAGTCAAATTTTGGTCACTGGTGTAGTGATACGTATAACTGCACACCGAACAACTAATCATAGCAGACCTGACATCACACTCAACTTGAAGGAACCAAAACAACCAACAAGGTCAATCCTAACACTGGTTGGACATGTACCTTAACACTTTCATATCCTGAGCTAGTCTTCGCATTTCTCTAAGACAAGAACATCCCACATCCTAATCTTTAATTGTTTGTGAATAGTAATCTAATGTAGGTCTACCTCTACTTATCTCAACTACTGTTTCTACATCGAATATGTCTCTAACTAGCCCTTTATGGCTAAAAATGTGTGCTATTAGCCTATCCCGATACGTACCTCCACTCTTTCCTATCCTGAGCTAAACTTCGCATTTCCCTAAAACTAGAACAACCCACATCCTTAACTATTTGCGAACAGTAATCTAACCTAGGCCTACCTCTACCCCTCCTAACTCCTGCTTCTGCCTCTAATATGTCTCTGACTAGACCTTCATGCCTCAGAAGGTGTCCTACAAACCTATCTCGCCATGTTTCTTATTGGCTTCCATAGTGACTTCTGTTCTCCTATGTTTTCTAACACCTCTTCATTTCTAACCTTCTCTATCCACGGTATCCCCATCATTGGCCTGCAACACCACAGTTCGAATGCTTCTGATTTATGCTTTTCCGCCGTACGCCTCGTCCATGACCATTTTTGTTGAAAGCGACTTTACCCTGCGTAATCCTTTGCTCTCTACTGCTCCTTCTATCCTGACTTATCTGTCTTCCTAGATACCGAAAATGAGTCACTTCTCCTAAATTTTCGTATGCTATCTTTAGATCCACTCTTTTCCTACTTTTTCTTCCCTTAGGTGCCAGTATTTTTGTTTTTCTTTTATTTATTTTCATACAGCACTATTCGGTCAACACCGTTTCCATTTTATTTATAGCTATCTCTAACTCTTCCTTGCTAGATACTAATACTGTTATATCATTTGTAAATGTAAGCATACTAATTTTTTGCCCTTGTATATCTATTCCAAAATAACTTACCTAATAGATTTTTCTAGACCAAAAACTAAAAATTATAAGTACTAGATATACTGATGAAATGTAAAAATATATACCTTTAGTCAAAGAAATAATAGAAATGTAGATCCACAGCCTGAAAATATGTAGATACCCTTAGCTGGAGAATTAAAAGAAATGTGTAATTAATACACAATTCGAATTACCCCAATAATAATTTCAACAATAGGCTTTATGCTTAATACATTTAAACAATTTGAAAATACCTACATCAATCTCCAAAAATCAGTANAAAATATATTTAGTATCAGCATTGCACCCGTGCGAAGCTGGGGGTCACTAGTAATTTATAAAAGCGGAATAGTTCGCAGATTTCTCAACACCAGTTCCACACTTCCCATTCTAGATAATACGCTGAAATCAGTGAAATCGGAAGAGGAATAATTGATGTTAAAGATTGTACATCTGTTTGTATACATCCTCATGTAGGTACTAACACATAAGTTGGCATTCTGAGATCTTATTTTAAAGCAAGATGTTTTGATAGCCCAATGCATAATTCAATAACAACAAACTGGACTTTACAGTGCATCAAAAAAGAGTGAGGCTCTTTGGCATCAGCTCGTCTTCTTCTACTATAGTTTAAAGCTGACCAGTGAAAACTAGAAAGAGCGGAACAAAATAATAATAATAAAAACGGGAACATGTATTAACAGATGGATACATAAAGGGGAAAAGTAAAAATCAATTATTGATTGTGTGACGTTTCGCAGATTTAAATGCTTTTTCTAGTTTCTGGTGTAGTTTTCAAACATTTTTTTAATTTTTTTCTACAATCTAATATCAACCATCCATAAAAAAAAGTTCCTAATAGATACCGAAAAATTTCAAATTCCATTTTAATACTACATCAGCGTTTTCTAGGTCTATCTACAATGAAACCGTCATCAATTTGTTTGAACGTAGGACGCTTGGCGTTACTATTTTCTGATGAGCACACACTATTGGATTAAAACAACTTGTATTAAAATTTAGAAGGACGAATCTCAACGATAACATTGCACGTGAGAATAAATTAATTTCTCATTATAGGAACGTGAATTATTCCCAAAATTCACTTGATATTGTTTATATTTCGTTCAGCGTTACAGCAGTGACATTACTGATGTTAAGTAAAATCCAGTAAATATATTTCGAAATTAAAACATTTTCAATTAGTATAAAAGCACTAACTAGAATTGAGAAAGCATAGTCAAGTGAATCGTCTTCATAGAAAGAACTACAAAAATCAACAACAAAAATGTACTCTGCCGTTTTCGCTATTTTCGCAACTCAGTTGTTTGCTCAGGTAAATTTATATTCATTTAATTATCATACCTAAATTTTTTTCACGGTTTCAATATAACTTGTTCCTTCAAAAATAATGTGCTTTTATTTACGAAATACACCCTCTTAATATATTGTATATTTGTTGTACAATTAGAGCTTAGCTGCCGCAATTATTGGAGCTCCAGGACTTGGAGTTGGACTTCCACCATGCTCATCTGTACTTGGTACCGGCATTGGTGCTATCAACCCAGGGGTTGTATCCGCTGAATTCACTAGCCTGAGTCCAGGCTTTGGCCTTCCAGGTCTTGGTTTAGGTGCTGCCCCAGGTGTCTTCTCCACTGAATTCACTTCTACCTTACCAGCTTTTGGCAACTTGGGCCTTGCAGGTCTCGGTTTAGGTGCTGCCCCAGGTGTCTTCTCCACTGAATTCACTAGCCTGAATCCAGGCTTTGGCCTTCCAGGTCTTGGTTTAGGTGCTGCCCCAGGTCTCTTCTCCACTGAATTCACTTCCACCTTACCAGCCCTTGGCAACTTGGGCCTTGCAGGTCTCGGTTTCGGTGCTGCCCCAGGACTCCTATCCGCTGAAGTCACTACTGCCTTACCAGGCCTTAGCGGTTTAGGCCTTACAGGTCTTGGTTTGGGTGCTGCCCCAGGTTTTGGTTTCGGAAATCTTGGTTTAGGTGGTCTTGGTATTGGCCCAGGATTCCAAACTACTGAAGTTACTTCCGTTAATGGACTGGGTGCCTTCCCAGGAGTAGCTGGTTTCGGAGGTTTAGGATATTTCTAAATTTCATATCAAATAAACGTTTGGAACAAAAGTCATCAGGGTTGCCGCATAACTCAGCTTTTAAACATCGATGAATAAATCTTTTGTGAATTGCAAAATTAAATAAAAAATATATCCAGTAATATCTGCTTTTTCTACATTTGTATTAGCATCATAATTAACTAAATTTTTCTACAAGTCCTATTTCGAGGGACAAAAAAGGATTGCAATTAAATTATGCTATTTGCTGAAACTAATACTAATGTGCAGAAATATTTTCTGAAACGGCGCATTTTAAGTGCAATAATAAATTTTAAGATCANTTGTCTCGATTAGTATACTCACTCCTAATTTTGAGTTAGACAATAAAAAAACGTTTCCTTTTCTAATAAAACAACTCATACCAAAATGATGGTGGACTTTGGACATTGAAGAGAGATGTTCCTGTTGACGAGCATGAGACAAAAATTACCGTATGGAGCTGTTCAGGCCAGAGAGAAATAATTTGTAGGAGGATCAAAGAGTAGTTCGTATTCCCTTTGAAATGGTTTCCTTTTTGTTTGTATAAGTAAGCATATTATAATTAAAATATGCATTTTTATATTGGGATCCGTCAAACGGGCATACACCACCTGGTAGCAAAACTCGTAACTAAAAAAAAGTAAAAATTGTTTTGATGATGGAGTCGACGAAGTTTTCTTCTAAAGTTAAATCAAATAAAAAGTTAATATGTTCAGTGAAAAGCTGCAAAAGCACTTCAGACATAGATCTTCACTCTTCACCTACATTAACTACTTTCCAATAAAAACTAACCGTTTTATATATGTAAAAAATATATTCGGAAAATTAGAGAAAAAAGTAAACTAATAGAAGCTTGGATGAAAGCAGTAGGTATCAAAGAAGTGAATTCCGGAATAAAAATTTGTTCACGTCATTTTAATGCACATGATTATATTTCAGCAAGTATTTACCATCAGCCATAACCTTAATATTTAAAACTAGAATCATACTAAAATTATAAAGTGAGAAATTATTTATTCCTGTGTAATTGATTTAACACAATTCTAATGATACGATATAAGTATTTTGAGGTTAAGAACCTACCTGCTGCAATACAACAAAGTTGCAATAATGTGTTTGCAACGTTCTCTTAAATCGGCTTTGCACGTGCAAGTCATTGATATGATATTGCTTAAATCACCCAGAATCACCTCACCAATTATATAACGTGAATCACTTTTTAAATCCGAAGTTTGTAAAAAGTAGGCAGTAAACTTGACGGAATTTGAAGGCTAGCTTCCGGATTTGTTATTTCCGAATTTTATAATGTGATTGGCATTAAAAACACGCTCACCTTCAACGAAATTTCCTTTCCGAGGCTTTGTGTCAGCCCAATCACATATTGTGTCAATACTTATCATTTTATCGTAATTTAAAAACTTGGAAATTGCACGGTACACTATAGGAACTACGATAAATTTTCCCTAATCGGCGCCATGTTTTTGGGCTCCTCCCATTTGACGGATCCCAATACTTATGCATTTTTTATGTTGGCGAAAATCTTATACATATAGTACAAAAAACTAAAAACGTTGAAGTCAAGAATACGAAATTACTCAAATTCATCTTAAAAAGGTAATTCATATTCACCAATAAGGGATCATTTTTGGGTTGAAACAGTATTTTTTACATTTTCGAATAGAAAAAGGTATATTTAGATATTTATCATTAGATGATAAAATGGTATCGTACGGAAGGGAAGTGTTTATTTAACAAAACGTTTTTCAATTTAAATGTGCTTGCTACATAGCTGATAAGCACTATTGGAAATGCAGGTTTTATTTTGAAATTTTTGAACTACAGCCATGTTTACAGCCTGAATAAAACTTGTAGTGATAAAATTTCATATTTACATGGATGTAGGTGGCTTTTGTACGAAATATTTTTCAAGAAAAACTATTAGGTGTTTATCTTGTTTAGTATGTTCTATTAGCGCCCAAAATTCATTTTTCATTTTTGTATCGTATGGCATTACTGGGTAAACTAACTAACTAAAAGAAGATCAAAAATATATTTATTGAATTTTTAAAGGCAATACAGTTAAAGTTGTCGAAAATTTACGTAAACGTTGTTCCCATATCAAAACTATGAAGAGTCAGAGCTTTTAGAATTTCACCTAATTTCTATAGGAAAACTGTATACTTACCTTCATTTTTGAGAAGTTGACAATGTTTTGGTATTAAGAAGCTTTTTATAATATTAAAGACATGACAGGAAAACGTATTTTTTTCTTTAATATTCATTTATCTATATAAGAAAAGATAGAAATGAAAATGGAAATCAATTAGAAATAGGCGAGAAAGGTTGGTAGGACACCTTCTCAAGCATGAAGGTCTAGTCTTAGTAGAAATTAGAGGCAGAAAAGGAGTTACGAGGAGTAGAGGTAAACCTAGATTAGATTCGCAAATAGTTAAAGATGTGGGTTGTCCTAGTTTTGAGGAAATGCGAAGATTAGCTCAGGATAGGAATGAGTGGAGGTACATGTCCAACCAGTTTTAGGACTGACGACCTTATGATGATGATCATATGGCATATTATTGGGTAAACTAACTAACTAACTAAGAGAAGACCAAAAATATATTTTTTTAATTTTTAAGCGCTACACAGTTAGAGATATCGAAAATTTACGTAAACGTTGTTCCCATATTAAAACTATGTTGAGTTAAAGCTTTTAGAATTTTTCCTAAGAAAACTATATACTTGCCTTCTCAGGTTTCATCATTTTTGAGAAGTGGACAATGTTTTGGTATTTTATAATATTAAACACAAGATAGAAATCGGTATTTCTTTCGTTAATATTCATTTATTCAGATTAGAAATTAATTTTGGATGTGCTAACACTATTGTAATGTTTTGTTACTGAGAATCAATTGTTATTGTTATCATATGCGTGAATTGAACGAAAATCTAACCACACGTAGTTAATAACAAATGGTAACATTTACGGTATCGGGGTTTTCGTGGAATTGAAGAGAATTGGTCAAACTTGACATATGCAACATTATAAATATTCTAACAAATTATGTTGTTTAATATTTAAATGACAGACCTAAGCAGAACCATAGTACGTGAGTAATCAATCAATAATACTCTCAGAGATACATTTATCTTCTAAAACATTCGTTAAGAACCTGCTAATAGTTTGTATTAAGATTTTCAAAAACATTTTAATGCTATAGTGGCAAAACGAGTATAAAAGCGAACACTGGGATTCAAGAAGCACATTCACTTCACTAAATTTCACCAAGAGAATTAGAAAAGTCACCTACAAAAATGCATTCCGCTGTTTTTGCTATCTTCACAGCTCAATTAATTGCTCAGGTAAATATGTATATAATTATCATATTAGTTATAGTTCTCCTTAAATACTATTGATTAAATTAGTTCCTGAAGGCTTATAACATACACTCTAGTAATACATTATAATGTTTGGCGCACACTTAGAGCTTTGCTACTGCACTTATTGGAGGCCCAGCTGTTGGACTTCCACCATGCCCTTCCGTAGTTGGTGCTGGACCTGGAGTGATTTCCGCAGAAACCACCACCATTAATGGGCTCGGTGGCTTGGCAGGATTTGGTCTTGGAGGTCTTGGTTTCGCCGGCCCAGGACTTGTATCCACTGAATTCACTTCTGCCTTTCCAGGCTTTGGCAATTTGGGCCTTGCAGGTCTTGGTTTAGGTGCTGCCCCAGGAGTCGTATCCACTGAATTCACTTCTGCCTACCCAGGTTATGCCGGATTGGGTCTTGGGTCTGTATGCCCAGGCATTAATGCCTACCCATTCGGCTTAGGTGGAGCTGTGACCAGCAGCGAAGTCACCACATCAAATGTTTTCGGTGGATTAACCAGCGTTGGAGTTACTGGCCCAGTAGCAGGTTCCCTTGGACTTGGCGGAGTTTACGGATACTTGTAACTTTTTAAACCTGAGATTGAATCATTTAAATAAACCCGAGGCGTTGAATCGTTAATGATGATAGGCCGATTTTGTGAACTATAAAACTGAATAAAAGTATAACTGAATTTTGCGTTTTTGTTTTTCATTAAATGACTATAATTTTATTGAAAAGACTGAGTTATTTGTGATATTTTATGAAATTGTTACTAATTTAAAGAACTTAAAAGATTATCAACAATAACGTGAAGTATGTGAAATACAATGTGAAGTGTAGTGCAATACATGGACATCAATTGTGTCCATATTGTAATAGAACTTATAGTTATGTGTTCATTTAGTTCACCAATAACTTTGGGATCTAAACTGAATTTATGTGTTAGCTACTGTGGCATCTCTAAAATCAGTATGTACATGAAAAAAGTGTGTGCATACGTTACATCCAAAGTAATTAACTTGGATATTGTTTATATTATCGTGCTTATAGGGAATCTCAAAATATACACTATGCGATTTGTTATATCATAGATATGTGTAATCGTACGTGTACAAGTCGTCACAAATAGGAAGAAGTGTGAATTGTTTCCGCCTATGAATTACTGTTATTACGGTTTGCTTTCTTGAATCCATATTTGTTTTTCTTTTGCTTCACTACGAGTTGTAATGATTTTTGTATTTGTATTCAATTATTTCATAGCACTCGACAATTTGGTTAGCAATTCGTGTGGGTCCCTTCTCCATGTTTAGAGGAGACGTGAGAGAAATCTTTCGTATTCTGCTGTCCTTCTTCCTCCTAATACATTCTTTGTCTTTCTTCAGCGCATAAACATTGCTATACTTCATTTACTTTCTGTAGCGATGTGACCTTCAGTTTGACCGGCGCAAAGTAAAAAAGAACAGCACTAGGCCAGAAAAGGAAGGAAACAACTCTCGGCCAAACTCTTAACCGGTGAGGAGCGTATAACCGGTACAGTACTGCACGTAAAAATTGACTATTTTATCCACTACAATTGCATTGCTCAAATGTGCTGTTATTGGTACCATTTACTACTGAAAATATCAGCGAGATGTTTGTTTATATTTGAAGACATATTAAAGGCTTCAACACTTGTTTTCGACTCGCACTACTATTCGTAATTGAACAAAACTTTTGGCAGGTACTGTATGAAAAAGTATTTTTAATGAACAAGAGTCGAGAGTATAATGTGCTTTTTTCTTCCTACCTACGATTTTGCCAGTGCGCATCCAAGACATCGCTACAGAAAGTAACTGAAGTATAACTGAAACTTCTTCCTATTCTTGTCAAGCTGAATGTGCATTCATACAACTTTCAGCAGGCAGTCGGTGTACGCTCGCTGCGCCCACCTTACAGCTATTGATGAGAGCGGCATATTACAACTCAATACAATGATCCACACTTTCGCATGTGGTATATACATGATATCTACCCAATTTACACAAAACAATTATTGCAGCACAGTTAATCAAATAATCTAGTTATTTTACAAAATATCTGTAATAAGATTAGATGAAGTAATAAAATGAAAAACTATTTATATTACAAAGATTAAGGAGTCGCAAATATAGTCGAAAGTCGAATGTAAATACTTGATTTTTAAATAGCAAATTATTAACCCTTAGATGAAATGCTTTTCCGATTTGAATGAAACTATATATGTATAAGTTTATGTAGAAATTATTTTTGAAATTTGAATGTGAAAGAAATTTAGCATGGATCATCGAATGTGACGATACCTAAAATCTATGTCTAGTTAACCGAAAATCCTTTGAATTCGCATTAACTGTAATCATCATCTTATGTGATTTAAATGCCAATTATTTGTAATCGAAATTCTGTTTTTAAATTTTTATGTTAAAAGTTCACGCCGTTACTTCAGGGTAATCTTATGTTTTATTGCTTTTTTTATACATTGATAAAAATAAACTAATTATGCTTATATGCACCACTATAATTTTTATTAAATGAAACAAACACAAAACAATCCAGTTAAGTCACTTCTTTCTTTAATCAGTAGATTATTATTATTACATCCGACTGACAATTTGTTATAAAAAAATAAAATTTGTTTAAACTAATACTGTAATACTGTAAACTATTAGATACCTCTTGAAATATTCCGTCTTCTTTTGCACGTTTTGTTTGTCATACTAAAACTGTGTTTTTATAATTCTACTTACGATTGATTGTATCTTACGAGAAATTCGATTATAAAAATAACGAAACGTGCTAGAACGTCTATACGTGAGAAAGTCGCCAGATTTTTGGAATAAGTAGGAACCACTCAATAATGCAATAGATTTTGTTTATAAAATATTAGACGATAATGGATTTTATCAAGTTAGGAAGGACTTCCTTTTCAGCGGGAAAGATTAGGTATCGAAGGTGGTACAAGCGCAGGTATAAAAGTGGTGTTCGGTTTTCTTAAAGCAGAGTAACCCGAACTACCTTAAAGGATAGCTACTATTGGAACAAAATGTGCGCCAAAATTTTATTACTTTTTGCACTTTACGTGCTTGGACAGGTATGAAAACTGAATATTTTTTATGTGCTAATTATTTCATTATCATTATAAGCATATACTGTTGAATTTTATTAATCGCTAATATTGAATTACCTTTATTTTATTTATACATATAATGAATATTTCATGCTACATTTCGACGATGTATTCTGTGTTCCTCTGTTACAAACACCAGTTATTGCAGGGAAGTATGTTTACATTTTTATTTATTACATAGAATTCGGCGCTCACATTTGCTACAATAGTTGCCGAACCAACTCCATGTCAGGCAGCATCAGCCGGATATTTTGGTGCAAATCCAGGTTTCTACGGCGGATTTAACCCCACCGTCACCACTACAGTTACTGATTTTATTGACGGCTACGGAGCTAACGACTTCTTTGGGTCATATACAACAGTCAATTCGGCCGGAAACAATCTTTATCCAACCTTGGGAGCTCCTCTTTTACCCCCTACACCACCATGTCAGGCAATAATCGTTTGTCCAGGAAACGGATATCCTAGATATCCAGGATATCCCGGATTTCCAGGATTCCCAGGTTTCCCCGATTTTCCTGGATTCCCAGGTTTCCCCAATTTTCCTGGATTCCCAGGTTTCCCCGATTTTCCCGGATTTCCAGGTTTTCCTGGATTTCCCGCAGGTCCTTGTTTTTCTGGACTTCCTAATTTACCCGGATTCCCTGGGTTTCCCGGATTCCCTGCATTTCCCGGATTCCCTGCATTTCCCGGATTCCCTAGTCTCCCTGGTTCTCCTTGTTATAATGGAATTCCTATTGTTCCTTATTCCGGGAATATGGGACTCACCAATATTCTGTAATGGTCTGGTGTTATGTAAGCTGTGCTAGTTAAGAGTACAAGCGACTCTACAAATTATAAATTTTCCTGTAAAACGTATGATACAATAAATATGATGCCAAGCAATTCTTTTAGTTTGCTCTCTCCAAGTACTTTATAGAATCACCACAACTAGTGTAAATTGTGTGAAAGCATTTTGTTTTGCTTAGCCGAAATTTAATAGTACAATAATTTTGAGTGATAAAAATGACTCTTCTAATAGTCCGAGCGAAAATATTGCATAAGGTTAGAGTCTAAAATTAATAATTTTCCGCAAAGCTGAAATTTATCTGATTTTGTCACCCGTTTGAATTCCTTCTGGTCATAGCATACACAATGCATTCTGACCATAATTGAACGTTCATTTTCAAAGTTCAAATTCATACAGTATAAAGTATCGATGTGCTGGACTAGCAGTCTAAGCGACACGGTTTCGAATCCTTGAACTGAAAAGCAAAAATGAATGAAGAATTTAGGCTTGAACTATGTATGAGGAGACAAATTAGCGTAATGATGAGGTAAAAGTACCTATAAACATATACAGTCGAACTTGGGTAAGCGAAAATTCAAGGGACCCGAATATTATTCTCACTCATAGAGTTTTCTCATTTATAGAGGTTAATAAAAAAAAAAAAACTTTTGGGTGTTTCATTCCCACCAGCCAGTAATGCTGGTAGGCGGGCAGTCCCCTCCGGACTATACCGGAAGGTAGGGCGGAAGGCCCTCTTCAGCCTGCTTTCAGGAATCGTGGGAATGGGTGGGTGGTGGTTCGGGTGAGAAAGATGAGACGGACGAAATGAAGACAGAAGAGAGTGAAAGATTATCTGTGGAATATTACTGCCTCGGCATTTGCCTAAGTGATCCAAGGAAACCACAAAAAAACTTGGACCAAGGGAGACGGACCCGGAATCGAACCGGCGTCCTCCCGAATGTTAAGCAATAGTCTAGACCTCTACGCCCTGCCGCTCGGTTAAGAGGTTAATAAAAATCGAACCTAAACATGCTAGAGCGTTAAGAAATAGGTAATACATAAGTATATACTCATTTGGCTATAAGTAGGTGCTTATTTAATTTTTTTAAAGAAATCAGTATCCTTTTTACAATTTTGAATAAGTATGTTTTTCAATTTCATAAATTTTATTAAAAATAATTGAGGGATCACTCAATGAAAACGCTTTAATTTTTCGCTTCAACATTTTGAGGGAACAACGTCAACGTGCTTTCTCCAATGATTGTTATCAACTGAAACCAAATGTTGAGGTTGAGTACCATGAGCAGGTAGAAACAAGCGCACAAGTGTGCTGCAGATGACTAGTAATTGTAAACAGTCTCGCTCACAGAGGTCTAGAGTCAAAAACTGTCACTTATAGAGGTTTTAGGGATTAAAAATGACGGGACCTGACTATTTTTGTCGCTTATAGAGTTTTCTCACTTATCCAGGTTCGACTGCATACAAAGAGTGAATATGCGTGTCCAACCAGTCATAGGTCTGACGATCCTATGATGTTAATGATTATCTTTCAAAATTAAGATATATTTTAACATATACATATCTGTATACGTATAAATGTACATATAATAGTTACGTGCAATAATAATTTACAAATTTAACCTGAACCGTTGGAAAGACAATAACATACAAAATGAGATCGGTTTTTCTCCTATATATTCGTAAAACAGAAGCTTTTTCAAGGAGAAATTCAGACTCGGTATAGGGAGACGCAAAATAAAAAAAAATCTATTCGAGATTCGTGTATTTTATTATATAGTTGGTTAATGTCTTAAGTAATCCATCATTTTAATTTGTGTTGACGAAGATGAAGTGGTGTGGTGTTTTACGGCTAATCCAAGAGCACGGTATGAAGTTCCTACAAATTAATTACACGTAGGAACTCTATACCTCGCTAGTGGTCAACCAATGTTTCTTCTTAAATTCTGAATCTTCTTGTTCTGCGTTACAGATGCTCGATATCATTTTAAAGAACGCAACCTTGTATCATTAGGCAAACCCGGACTCCAGCCGTAGATAATGGTTTCTTCTTGCTGAAACTAATAAATGTTAAATGCGGAAATTTTCGAAGTAATGTAGACCAAAATGGCGGTTAAATACTTATACAATTACAAGTTACAATTATTTTTTACATATTGTTTAATGATTTTAAAGTTTTAAAGACGATTTAGTAATCTGAATTCTTCTATAATCCGGTTCGTTCGTTCTTTAATTGACCCGGGTTGTTGAATCACAATTGTACAACTCAAAATTTAATGTAAAACGAAGTTTAACACATGCTTCAATACCCAAATTGAAATCAGCATTTTTAGTGACTGAAAAACTCAGTGGATTTTGAAACGCGTATTAGACTTCTAATCGATATATGTGAGGTTATCAATCGCGCTTTATTTTTAACCCTCATTATTTCAACAAATTTCGAGAGAGAACCTGTCTCATGTCATGCAAGGGGAATGTAGATAATTGCATCAATTAATTGTTTATCATAATGTGTTAAAGGTGTATATTTGGAGCGCGGCTTTGTACGGGTGCGAAACATGGACAGTGACAAAGAAAATGTTAGAAGCGTTCGAAATGTGGTGTTATAGGCGAATGATGAGGATAACGTGGGTAGAAAAGGTTAGAAATGAAGAGGTATTAGAAATAATAGGAGAACAGAGGACTCTATTGAAGTCAATAAGAAATAGACGGGATAGGTTGGTAGATACCTTCTCAGGCGTTAAGGGCTTGTCAGAGACATATTAGAGGCAGAAGAAGGAGTTAGGAGGGGTAGAGGTAGACCTAGGTTAGATTACTGTTCGCAAATAGTTAAGGATGTGGGTTGTTCTAGTTTTAGGTAAATACGAAGTTTAGCTCAGGATAGGAAAGAGTGGAGGTCCGTGTCCAACTAGTCTTAGGACTGACGACCTTATGATGATGATGACATAATGTTTATCTTTTTGTATGGTAAAAATATAGAGTAAGTGCACTGATATTGAATGCGTTTTTTTTTATTTAAACTACTTATTATTATGATGTACGTATTGCAATAGTAAATATCATTTAACACGAACAATGTCCAATAACAGTTTGACAGATTAACTGTTAATTTGATTATTTTATGGTCATCAGAGTAAATTACAACAGCATGCATAGATATGCGTACAACAATCAACACCTATCTAGAATGGTCTTTCTGCGGTATTGTTTGAAGTTTTATTGTCATTAACGCACCTATGACTTCTCATTAAACTCGCGCACATTGAGCTTATCGTTAAATAAAAGCCGACTTTACTATTCGATAGGATAATTCTTATTATTATTATTATTATTAAGTAGAAAGGTATGACTAATTTCATAATTAACATTTTTTTTATAAGCTATCAGTAATTAATTATTATTCAGTACATACATTAATTAACAGTCAAAGCAATTAATAAATTGATTTTAAGAAAAATATAAAACAACATTTTAATGAATAACAAAATAACAACACCATAAGTCGAATAACAACAGTCGTTATTAATCATTATCCACTTCGTTATACAGTATAAATATGTACATTTTACTTTTATAAATAGAATGTAAACTCTCTGAAACGAAGCAATGAGAGCGTGGTTTCATAAATTACGTAGGTAATTCACACTGGGAAGAAAGTGGTCCAGTTTTAATTTCATAATACACTAATTAGACATTGAATTTTTGTAGCGTTAATTCAGTGTATTAATTTAATTAATTTTACCCACTACAGATAACCTCAAATTAATAAGCAAAAATTGTCACTGTTGTCACTCCCTTGCCGGGAATCGAACCCGCGCCAATGGTTTTACGTACCAGTACTCTACAACTAACCTACAAAGAGATGACAATAGCAATACCAAGTATACGTTTCAAAAGGTATAGATCGCAAAATCGTCAAATTAATGTATAATAATTATTATTATTAAAACAAGATACTTTTCTCATTAAATTGAAGTTATATGTACTGGTACAAATATTAATTCACTCATAGTACACTATTGTGTCAGCCTGAATTCTGCTATCTAAGTAATTTTTATTTGTACTTTGGAACAAGTTAAAACGAAGCAAAATTTCAAGGTACAATGCATTATAGGACTGACATTTTGAAGGAATGTTTTCGTAATTTACTGATAGAAGAGGTGGGGTTGTAAACCGTTTTCGTAACTGATGCTAGCTAAAATATTTGGAGGTTAATATGTTGTAGTTGTTAGGAAAACATAAAACTAATTTAACCAATCAAAAAATTGAAAAATTTTAAAAACCTGATGAAGAAAATTTGGAGACTTGGCAACAAATAATATCGAAAAAGCAAATTATAATATGCAACACACTTTCGTAAAATACAAGGACACGGTTGGTTGGCATTTAAACATTTAAAGCGCATATGTATAAAGCAATCGGTATGGCACCTATACCATTTTCCTAACTTCAACCATACGGCGCCACGGTGGCATTGAACTTTTTGTCTTCACACTTTACATAATTGTTTATAGTAATAATAATAATAATAACAACTTTAAACGACGCTATGACATTTTATTTTGTGTCTTAATATGATGCTTTTTTTATGTAAATGCTGGTGCCAAAACTATTGTAAGTGTATTTAAGTCTACAACATCAAGAATTCTACAATATCATCACCGAAAATAATCGTAAACAACAACTTTGCATAAAAAGTTACATTACTTAATGATTCATGAAAATTTATTATTTAAACAATAAAGATAATAATATGTCTATTATTTATTTCGTTTTTCTTTCTTTACAGTTACTAAGGCGTGTACGTGACTCAGTCTCAGTCCAATTTTGTAAGGGTGAGTATATTATATCTAGTAAATTTTTTATATTTTCTGGTACATTTACAAGTACTTTGAACAAAATAAAAGAATGGTAACTGTCACTAATGCAGTCCACTGCGGACACATGTTACGTCCACTTCTAATTTGGTTATTATCAACACGAAACTGTCTCGCGTTAAGTAATTAATCTCTT